AGCCGTGCCCCTTGACTTTCTTTTGATGGGTCACCCAGAATCCCGACCGATTGGCAGATGGACCATTTTAATAGCCCAAACTTCAGAAACATTTTACCTTTCTACCTTTCCTAGTTTGTGTCTGATTCAAGCTTTTTTTCTGTATCGCCTAATAGCTTCCTATACGGTTATTACGAAAATCCGAAGGAATTTCATAATGCTCTTCCACCTCTCGCGTGTCAATGATTGCAAGTGGCATTGAATGAGCCTCCTCCATCTGAAAGATATTGGGAGTTCCACATCAGTAGCCATGCATATTGCAAGGAAACCTTCTTATGCAACTAACTGATAACAGGTTATGTGAATTTGCTATATTATTTCTACCTTAAAAATTCCTGAATTTTGGCGCCAATAATTTTGGGACACCCTGTACATTTGATAGCTTCAGCAACTCGTTTTATAAGACAAATAAGCATTAAACCTTCAGTACGATTCTGAATGAAAGTCAGATTCGGGCGCACCGCAAAGATGTGGTACCGATTGACTGACTGAAAAGAGATGAAAGGCTCGATTGGCCCAGGCAAGTATCAATCCGGGATTCGATCCACAGAGCAAGTGCGCGATAGTATACACCACAAAGAGTAAAAAAAAACTAACCGTCAAGTATGAAGAACGAGTCAACGCTGCAATCGGCACTTGTGCGTAAGTATGGAAGGCTGACGTTTGCTCGCACACCTACAAACACGACTCCATTACTATGTCGCAGAAAATCTGAGTTGAACCATCACATAGTCAGCGGCGCCCATAGTTACTATTTGTGATCAACGCCGCTTGACAAAAAAATTGGAGGTGGTGAAAAAGTAAGTTGGGGAAGTGCCACCCCTGTTCTCAAACACGAATCCCAGAGCGCAGGGGTAGCAGACCTGCACTGTGCTTGGCCCTGAAAAGGAGGACCACGGCGAGGGGGACACGCGAAAAGGTGAGGTTGGGAAAGAACTGAACACTCTAATTACCACTGATCAATTTCTCCTCAGAAGTGTACCCGCGAAGACGGCTACTCCTCTCCCTCCTTCTCCTTCTCTACGCTCTAGCGCTCTAATTACCACTGATCAATTTCTCCTCAGAAGTGTAACCACGTACCTCCAAGATGGCTACCCCTCTCCCTCCTTCTCCTTCTCTACGCCTAGCGTCTAGAATTGAAGGGAAGGCATGTCATAACTCTATCCCCCGCCCCCCCCCCCCCATCTTCGGATGTTCTTGTTTATTCCTATCAGGACGCAATACAATTTTTGTCAGCTAATGGCACGTCGAATTTCGGAATGGAGAACTGAAGAAACGACACGCGTATCAATATGCCACCCTGTCTAATGTGGTAGGTAGGTAGACCAACGAGATCCCAGTAAATGTTGCATATGACTTCCTACATTGCCCTCCAACTAGATTTTCTTCAGTTTGCATGTATACTGAGAAATATTGATCATCCTCGACCATCAACTTTTGCTGTTTGAACGCTTGTAGGCATTTGAAAATCGAAAAGCTCTAAGCTACCACCTATCCACCACCTTAGTCTGGCAGTTGTCAGAAAAAAGACTTTCAACGTCGCGAGAGACACCTTGCTTCTGATGTTGAGGATGTGACGATATTTTTCACATCTGCTCTAAGCTTTTATGGTCTGCATCACACAGAAACAACCAATTTAGCAATATTACCACTAATTATCACTATGATGTTACTAATACACGCTTACCTCTGTCTCGAAGGAATTTTGCCTGAATCGTTGGCTTCTCTACATGATTAATGTGTATCTTTGATATGGTAGCTGAGCTAACGGTCACATCCGGTATGTGCATATTATTCAAAATCTGTGGCATTGCATCGCTAGCAAGCTCTGAAAGCCAACAATAAGAAGGATGAAATAATCTGAAATCAGTGGGACAATAAAACAGATAAGCAAGTCCAACGAAATGGTAAAGTATTAAATGTCAAATGGAAGTGGGCTTGTTCCGCTTCTTTACCACATGAACCGTCTTTTTAAGGATCATCACCTGGTTCTGATGATTACGTTAAAAGTGCTACTGAATATTCTGAAAACTCGATAGCTGCTCAAATAACTACACATCCAAACAATTTAAATCAACATACATAGAGCAGTTCAATAGGACCGTAATCAATGTAGATGACGTCATGGATTAAGAATATTAACGAATCTTCACCGACTTGTAAGGTCTATTATTAAGTGCTGAGCGTCGGAGCCTAGAAACCTTTTGAATCATGGTGGAAATCTTGATGGAAGTCGTGAGAATAGTTTGGAGAGAAGTGCGTGACGGTTACTAAACGGCTCCCTTCCCAGCCCATTGCACTTTTCAATCTAAATACTTGAGCTCCTAACGAGCGGGGTCAAAAGGCATATACAGTAATCGAAAGCCATTGTAAGTGTTACCTGGACGGATAAGGCAGATCAAATGAGGAAAGCCGCGAACCCTTTTATCTTTTTGAACTGCTGTTACCTAAGACTGCATGCAAATCACAAGTGCTTTGGAAGAGGTGGTTAAGGGGAGTGAGCGGTTTATGGAGCGGTTTCAAGTGGTTAGTCTGTGAAAGCCATTTAAGCAAGTCGTCCACAAGTACACTCTTTTCGAATCGATCTCTCATAATTGCCGACGACAGATGGACTCCAGAAATCGGTGGTCTTCAATGTATTATAGAACATACTTGAGGCCTCTGCCTTTGAAGGTGTTGTAGTTTATGCCTTTGTCCTCTGTTTACTGTAGATTAGAATAGTGTTTGCACGAGTACTTTCTTCAAAGGCTTCTGCTTTTTCAGGCTCCTCAGGGAAAAGCGTCGTTTTATCCAGCTGACGTCGAACGTCAGCTTAATAAAACTATAGCACGGAATATCAGTATCGGTTCAGTAATTAGATCTACACTGAGAAAGAAACGAGGCTCACGAGTATGATGTGGATACCATTGTAAATGCCATGCCAGTAAATATGTATTCTAAGACACAGTTCACGACAAAAATGGCCTGGGAGATATCCCACTATGTAGGACAAAGCCTAGCCCCTGCTACACCATAAGTTGCGCTGTCATGACGGAAAACGGCCTAGACAGAGCGTTTTGAAGGCGTAAAGAAAGTCCCGTGTGTATGCTCGGACGAGCTCCACCTGCACTGTAGAGGTTTCACAAGGGAACCAATGTAGGATGTTGAAACAATTTGTCATGCCCCATACCGACAGTGAAAGACAGTTCTGGACTGCTTTTCCCTGATGTAGCCAGCTCTTTGCGCAATTGCAACAATTGAAACCTCGTACAAATACCCCTCCCATGTCGATTCCGTCATTATGGTCTCGTACAACCCCTATTTTCACTACTTTTGGGGGGCCTCATTTTTCGCAAAATCTCCGGAGTTTCTAGCTTCTTTCTCAACTAATGCACTGTTCCAGACCTATACTTCCGCTTTTCGACTTAAAAAGGGTAGCTCAAAATTATCGTGATTTGTGCTTGTGAGTTTCATTGCAAGAATCATCAAGATCTACACGGAAAACATTTGGCGGTCTAATGGGAAAAATTAAAAAGCTTCCTAGAGATGTTTGAGGGAATTTTGCGGCAAGTACCACCAATTCGTCTCCGGCTTGTACAAATTCCAATTTGACTTTTTGGGAGCTGCGCTGTGGTGTAAACACTAGCGTTTAACGTAAGTAGTAAGTTATTTGAGGTATTTCAAAGTCCCTTTTCACTCAAATGACGAAGATTAATCAACAATTTCACAAGTGTAGAAGAAACTTTAGGTGCTCGTCAGTTGAATAAAATTGGCTATGTAGAGTGGCCGATTCTAGTACTTCATAGAGGAGCTCACCTGTTATGTAATCAACTGCTTTCTGATTGAAGCGGAAATAAATGCCAGCATTCCTTGACTTGGTTCCATTTGTGAGGGTGTGGATAGGAACGAGAAAGCCGAGCAGAAGTAAAAGCGGGTACAGTCGATGAGACATCTCGACTCGGCTGAAATGTCGATGAAAGAGTCGGAGAGATGTTTATATGATGATGATGATGACGCGTGGTAGGGCAGATCGTACCCTCCTAGTGAGCGACCGATACGCCAGATGCAACGAAATTCCATATGTGTAATATGATCCGCTATAATCAATGGAGCTGAGAATGCAGACTCATTTACAGTCACCATCGACTCCCAATGGTTTATGCGAGTTGTTTGCGAGTTGCAATTCTTATCTGAGAAAATTATCCTTGTCGCCGTCTCACTTTATTTTATGCTGATCATGCAGAGCGGGAGCATGTGCTCGGAAAGCCTTGGGCTCGTGAATTACCCATGTTAATTTCTATGTCGTATACCTTCGCGTGATAACGGGTGGTGTTTCGAGATCCAAGAGATGAATGTTTTGAAGGGCCGGTTGGTAGCAAAGCTGATGAACGCCTTCTAAGCATTCGTCTACTGGCAATGATGACTTTCTGCTTTTACAATTCTATGATTCCTCTGCTCACTGATATATTCTTTCTGAGAAGGAAACCGTTTTAACACAATCGCGACATCCAGATCATTCTGGAATGTTTTGGAAGTTTCCGAGGATTTACTATGCAAGAGCACTACACTGTTGTATGCGCATAACACATTTGGCTTCCCCTATAATTACCGAACTATCTCACCAAACTCGACTCGTACTTGCTCAAGATTCCAAGCCTGACCACCCGTTGCTGAAGCCTATAAGAAGTTGCACAGAGTATTTGGCTTCGGAGCTCCTTCTAAGCTGTTCAAAAACTTGAAAAGAGGAAGTCGAAGGTGAACCTGTAAAAGATGGACCCCAGCACAGTTCCTCCAAACTAATGATCCACCTGTGTTAACTGTTATTGAACTGTTATTGTTATCTAGTTCGGGTTCGTGATCACCTTGCTGAACAATTTACTTACTACATATCTACTCCCGCGCGATCAGTTTTGGCGGGCTCAGTACCCCTATATAAGTGTTAGTTTGGTCACTTTGTGAGTTCGTCTACCGAGGATTGTTCGTCCACATTTTCTCGCCACTGAAGCGGCGCCTATTTTATTGTACTATTGCAAAAAATTTGTGAGTTTAATCTACCAGTTACCCTCACCCACCCACCGGAGCACCCAAAGCTCCATTATAAACCTCCATTGGGCAGCCGACTGCATTATC